CAAATAATTTTCAATCAAATACGTGGTAAAATAGTCATTCGGGATGGACTAAGTCACAATCCCCCAACGGTGCACGATCTCACGCTCGTCATCTAGCGTGTGCATATATAGCACAACGATATGAAATTCGGGGTTTCATACCCTCAAGACAACATTTACAATCATTACTCACCTCTATCCGGTCCAAACTCTAGCCCGCGATGCCCTTGCCTCTCGAACTGGCCATTAGATGCTCCAAATCTAACCAAAATCAGTGCAAAACCATCAAAATATGCTAAGGGAAAAAAGCTCACTCGAAAGAAATCAAATTACAACACAAATCCCGAAATTGGCCAACCCGACCCCCGGGCCCACATCTCAGAATCCGATAAAAATTACATCAATAGACTCCTTATCACTCCCCGAGTTCATTCATATAAAAATCACCAAAATCCAACCACAAATGATCCCTCAAATCCCTAATTTTTGGTCTACAATTACAAGTCCTAGTTTCTTCAATATTTAGGCTTAAATTCAACAATTTTCATGATTAATTAGGTAGAAATCACATTAGGATTGAGTATTAAGTCCATAAATCTTACCTCCAAGTGTTCCCCCTTGATTCCCTCTTCAATCCCCTTCAAAAAGCTTCATAATCGCCTAAAAATGGAGGATCTTAGATCCAAAATCGCAGAAATGAGTCTTTTAAACATTCTGCCCAGGCATTCAAATCCTTCTTCACGAATGCGGTCAAAGCCTCGCGTTCGCGAAGCACAACCTGACATTGACCACATTTTCCTCCTTCGCAAACGTGTCTGCTCTCTCACGAACGCGATGCTTCCTGACTCCAACTCTTCGCGAACGCGGCTCCCCTCTCGCGAATGCATAGCTCAATGACCCCAGCCCTTCGCGAACGCAGGACCTCCCTCGCGAATGCGAAGGCCAAATCTTCATCCTCACATGCTAACCTTTCACGAACGAGAGGGCCCACTCGCGAAGGCCAGCTGGTCTGCAACACACACAACAACTTTCTGCAATTTTCTACAACTTGAAATGATCCGTTTAACCATCCGAAACTCACCCGAGGCCCTCAGAACCTCAACCAAACATGCCAACATATCCCATAACATCATTCAAACTTGTTCCAACCTTCGGAACGCTCAAAATAACATCAAAACACCAAATTTGCATTGGATTCAAGTATAAGAATTCCAAAATCTTCTAAATTCTGCTTTCGATCAAAAGGTCTACCAAACCACGTTCGAATGACCTAAAATTTTGCACACACATCCCAAATGACACAAAGGACCTACTGCAACTTCTGAAATTCCATTCCGACCCCTATATCAAAATTTCACCTATCAACCGAAAAACGCCAAAATTCCAATTTCGCCAATTCAAGCCTAAATCTACTCCAGACCTCCAAAACACATTCTGATCACGCTCCTAAGTCCCAAATCACCTTCCGAAGCTATACGAACTATCAGAACTCACATCCGAGTCCTTTAACACATAAATCAATATCCGATTGATTTTTCCAACTTAAGCTTCCTCAAAAGTGACTAAGTGTCTCAAACCTTACCAAAACCTCTCCGAACCCGAGCCAACCAACCAATAACACAAAATATATTTGAACAAGGTAATAAGAAGCAGAAATGAGGGAAACGGAGCGGTAACTCATGAAACGACTGGTCGGGTCGTTACACTTTGTATGCTCAGAACTTGGCAATCAACAATACACACACAAAAGACTTAATATGGCAGCTACATAAACTGTATTAAAACACATATTTGGTCTTATTGACCTAAAAGAAACATACATAATAAACAGTCACAAAATAAGATAACAAAACATCTATTTGTAGCAGCAAAACAGACACCATAAGATAACAAAATGCGAAATGCAGTCTATAGCCACCTAAAAATCCTTATCATAATACAGAATTGCAGTCTATAGCTGCTTAAAATTTTAGCATAATGCAGCCTATTGCAATACAATCATCAACAAAATAATATCTTGATCAATTGGGTTGTTTTGCAGTGGTGCTTTCCTGGCTCAACTTAGCAGCCATGAACCTTGTTTGAATGAGTTTCTTGCCTCTCAATTGTTGAAGCTGCCTTGATGTCATAGCTTCTTTACCTTTGATGGCCTAGATCTCAAGTTACTTTTGCTGAAGACATCGCATTTTTAAAGTTTATATAGGACATTCCAGGCTACCAAAATCCAACAGAAAATCAGACAATAAATTCACCTCAATAAGAGAGGTTGTGTTAGAACTTGCATTTTGAATTTTGAAGACACTCTGAGTGTGTAAAACTCCCATCCCAACCATCCTTGGCTTGTTATATTGTGTTCTTACATCAGTGCTAGTACCAACATCCTAAATCAACCAATTAAAAGTAACAATCTGGTAGAAGACATTAAAGGGAAGAACTTCTCCTTTTCTTTAGAACCTTTTGGCCTACCCCTTCCTCTTCTAGTACTTTGCTTTGGTGGCTTTGAACTACCAATACTTGCAGGCATAGAACTTGCTGAAGTAGCAACAATATTACTTCCAGCAGTATTGCTATTGAGCTCTTTATTACACCAAAGTCAAAATGAAGAATAGGGCTGTTGAGCTCCTTATTCAGTATGGGCAATTGGTTGGGTATTAAAAATGTTTAGAAGGCTGCCATGTATCCCTTCAGCCAAATGAGGGCAAATATGTTTAATAGTAAGACGCTAGGGGCAATTTTGATTGATTAGTATAACGGAGGGCTATTTTAAATAATATTTAATAGTAGAGGGATATATCTGACCCTTCTCTGTTGATTAAAACGAAAAAAGAATTGAAATGCCCTGACTAGTTCATTCCAAGCTAATGTGAATATTATTTGGAACATTAAACTCGTAGAATGTTTCTAATATTCGTTTGTTAATTTCTTAATTAATTAGAATGTTTACTTTTTCAATATAACTGACACATTTCTACTTAACTACTGGCTATAAGCACCAAGTTTTTGACCTGAAAACTTGTAAGCCGGACTTGAATATAAGCTAATGGACGCTGTAATTTATTGAGATTACGTTGTCATAGAAATCCAGATAACTATTATGACAAGGAGAGGAAAATAATCAAGATACAAAGATATAATTATTTTTCAAATCAATCAGTTTGATAAATCAACAAAAATCGGAGTAACGAAACACCTATGCCCCTTATTACACTTTGGATCTAAATATGCTTTTTTCATTATATTATTGGTTTAAATATACCCCTTTTCTGTTAATTTTGTCCAAGCCGAACATCAAATCTATATTTGATGAGGTGGATGCCACAACGCCCTAATCCATTTTACCCATTCCTATTTTTTTTTCACTGCTAAAATTTTCTTCTCGTCCACCACCATTATTGCCACCATGAACAATATCTCTTTAAGCACTGCTAGCATGCGTGATATTGGGGGTGACTAATTGAAATATTTTTTTGCAGGCCCAGGTGCTCAAAGCATTTACAAATGGGCAAAATTCAATCTCGCACTGTTTAGATACTTCAATTTTATCTGAGTTGACTATCTGAAAATTCAATATTGTTCATGGTGGTGGTTATGCTTGCAATAATGGGGGAGGAAAAAATTTTAGTGGTGGAAATATAATTAGAGGAGAGGGTAAAATGGGTTAAGAGCACTAAGGTTGTATGCCACACGACATCCACCCCCATCAAATGTCAGTATCACGTATGATTAGATATCCATCTTGGACAAACTTGGAAGAGGATATATTTGATACAATAAAATTACAACAAGAATATATTTGGACCCAAAGTATAACAAAGGTATATTTAAACTTTTTTTCATAATACATAGATATATTTGACCTTTTGCCGATAAACTATAAAAAAATTTGAAAACTGAAGGATTGAAATACTCCAAAGAACAATTTAGGCACAAACAAAAATTCAACAAAGACTATATACAAAAAATTTATTAAACTAGGGAGAGAACTTGGTAGGAGACTTTTTCACAACTCATAAACTCTTGAATCTCTCTCTACATCAGAGTTACCTCTCTACAATAGAAAATATGTAGTAGCACCCCTATTTATAGTACTACAATCTAAAATTGACTAGACTAACAAAACCTATTCCAATATGAACTTGGTAAATAAAATCTAACTAGACATGGATTAAATAAATTAGTAAATACTAAATCCTAGACAACTTAGGAATACTAATTAATCCTGGTTTAATTTCCAACAGCCTCCCTTACACCAAGATCTTCAAACTTGACCATGCCATGAGTTATATTAAGCCTTGTAGAAAAGTACTTTAGATTCTCCACCAATTCCCTAAAATATGTTGCATCAAACAAGTCGCGAGTATCGTCTTAAGTTAACATCAGTTTCCCTTCAATATTGGCCATATATGATTTATCTTTAACCATGGTAAATTCCTTCAAAATATCATCATCATCTTTTTCCTTTACTTTGATATCATCTACTTCTCCAGTTGCCTTATAGTTGGACTTGTACAACCATTCAACTCCAATTTGTCATTCTATAGGTTGCAGGGTAATGCCGCTAATAAATATTTTGTCATGCTCCTTGAAACATGCAATCTCGAACAATGGCATGTAATTGTTTGTATCTTCAATATCTATAATCATGTGTTGTAGTTCTGGATCCCAAGCTATTTTTGCCTCAATCTTGTGCAGATCATCAGAGACTTTCTCTTGATGAATCATCTTGCTTCTTTCATTACTCGGTTCATCTCCAGTACCATCAAATAATTTTTCTTGTGAAATACTAACCTCTTTTGGACTGGCATCCCTTGCAACTAAATCATCCTTTTAATCATCGAATAAATTTTTGAAAGATCAATTTGAATATTATTTGACTTTCCTTTGCATTCAATATAATCTCTATCACAACAAAAATTGCATGTACCTTCTCTTCTTTTCTCCTATATTTTTGAATTTTGGCCATCTTAATTTATCTCCGCCGGATTTGATGTGTCTTCCTTTTCTTTTGGTTGATCATCTTTTTATTGCAATGCATCCTCCATTGTCTCATCTTTCTGTTGATTCAATGATCTCTCGCATGTCACCAATCCCACTTGTAAATCATCAAGTCTGAGAGTGCTAAGATCTTTGGTAGCTTCAAGAATAATTTTTTTGTTGTTAAACTTTAAACTTAGAGACTGCAATATTTTTTCAACAAATTTAACTTTTTCCAATACTTCTCCATTGGCCCTTAGACCATTGACTATTTCTTCAATTCTTGTAAAAATTTCTTTGATAGACTCTGTTGGTCTCATACGAGTTAACTCAAATTGACTCCTAAACTCTTGCAGTTTCTCTTTCTTTATGTTAGCAACTTTTTGATATGACTTCACCAAGATTGTCCAAGCCTCCTTTGATGACTTTGCATGCAAATATCTCTTAGATACATGCAATTCGACCTTAATGACGAGATAGTAGTGTGCCTTATAATCTAAAAGTTTCTTCTTCTCCAATTGCATAGCTGCATCACCCATCAACGTTATGCCTTCTAGGGGTTCCTCAAATTCTTCATCAATAGTAGACCATAATCCAATAGCCTTAAAAAAATTCTTCATCTGTTGATANATATATATATATATATCTATATATTGGATCTCCTACCGGCTCTGACAGAATCTCACCCAGGCTTTGATACCAATTTGAAGGATTAAAATACTCCGAAGAACAATTTAGGCACAAGCAAAAATTTAACAAAGACTATACAATTTTTTTTTATTAAACTAGGGAGAGAACTTGGTAGGAGGCTTTTCCACAACTCATAAACTCTTGAATCTCTCTCTATATCGTAGTTACCTCTCTACAATAGAAAATATGTAGTAGCACCCCTATTTATAATACTACAATCTAAAATTGACTAGACTAATAAAACCTATTCCAATATGAACTTGGTAAATCAAACCTAACTAGACATGGATTAAATAAACTAATAAATACTAAATCCTAGACAACTTAGGAATACTAATTAATCTTGGTTTAATTTCCAACAAAAACTGCTAAAACAAAAACCAGCTAGAACTTGTTTTATGCCTAATTTGATTTTGGTTGATATTCATGCTAACTTGCACTATTTAAATGTACAGACTCAATCTCATGGTAAAAGCTTACTACATAATTTATTTTACATATATATATATATATATATATATATATATCCCTAATTTACTACTTCATACTTTAATATTTAATCGAAAAAATTAAATTATTTGTATAGAGTTGTATTCTTGAATTGTAGCTACGTTTGGATATAAATTTAGTTGAAACTTGAAAAAATTGAGTATTTAAAAATGAGATAAAAATGGTTTTCAAAAGTTAAAATTGTGTTTGGATATATATATTTACTTGAAAAGAATTTAAAGTTTTGTGAGTAAAAAACTTTAAAAATTACTCTAGAGCTATGTTTGAGATTTGAAGATTTTATTATCAAAATCTACTAAAAAATAGTACAAAAAAATATTTTTTTTAAAAAAAATTATGATTAAAGCGGGAGCTTAATTTTAATTTGACTAATCTTGAAAAAGAAAAAGTGGTTAATTCCCATTGGCATTCTCACTTATCGATAGTGATGAAGTCCTTGATTTGACGTCGCCTTAAAAGAAAAGAGAGAGAGGGAGACACAGCTGTAATCCACTCTCCTCTATTCTCTTCCCTTTGCGGCTTTGCCCTAATCGCCTAAACCCTTTACCCTTTCAAATGGCTAAGAAGCATACCGAAGAGGAAGAAGAATCCGGCGACGAAATGGAAGTTTCTTCCCCGGGAAACGCAGATTCTGAATCTGAATCTGAATCAGAGTCAGAACCCGAACCCGAACCCGAAAAACAACAACCACCCATGAAAAAACCACCATTTGCCGCTCCAAAAAAACCTCAACCACCTGAAGATTCCTCTTCTTCTGCAGAGGAATCCGGGTCCGAGTCTGAGTCTGAATCAGAATCCGAACCTGGAACTCAGAAACCAAACTCGGTTACAGTAGAACCCTTAGCATCCAAACCCATGGATGACCCAAAAAAATCTGCTCCCAAGCCTAGATCCAAACCAAATGCTACTGCCAAACCCACTTCTCCTCCTCCGGCGAAGCCATCCGCCGGTGCCGGAGCTAAACGGCCGGTGGCGGTGGACGATGGTAAAACAAAGGAATCTAAGAGGTCTAAGAAGACACCAAAAAAAGAGATTGAAACTCCAGTGAAGCAAAAAACACCCACTGAGGATGTAAAGAGGCAGCTTTTTCAGAGATTATGGAGTGAAGATGACGAAATTGTTATTTTAAAGGGCATGGTTGATTACAGGTTAAAGAAAAAATCCGACCCGGTTGCTGATTTGAGCGCATTTCATGATTTTATTAAAAAATCTTTGCATGTTGATGTGAGTAAGACACAGTTGCAAGATAAGATTAGGAGGTTGAAAAAGAAGTATGAGAACAATGCTGGGAAAGAGAAAAAAGGAAAAAAGGAGAGAACGTTTTCAAAACCCCATGAGCAAAAAACTTATGAATTGTCCAAAAAGATTTGGGGTAAAGAGAAAACTGATAATAAGGGTGAGAAAGTTGAAGAAGTTGATAGAGTAGTGGAGAATGGAACAACTTCAAAAAAGGGGCAAAGTAAGAGTGAGGCCAATGATAATGTTGTTATGGAGAATGGAGTGGAGGAAGGTGAGGAACAGAGTGCTGAGGTGGTGAAGAGGGAGAAAAATATCGAGGTAGCTGCGCAGAATTTGAGTTTGGTTTCGTGTGAGAGAAGTGTTGCTGAATTGGAGAAGTGGCTTGAAGAGAATTCTGGGTTGATTAGTATTGAAACGAGGAATGAGATGAAGGAAAAGTTGATGTCTTTGAAGTTAGCTGAGTTTGACTTGTGCTTCAGGAGGGTGGAACTGATCACTGAGCAGGGGAAGCTGGTGCGCGAAGCTATGGGAGCTTCTGGGATTAACATCTTGCAAAAGTAAACTAATTTAGGGTGAACCTGTTTTTCTAGTTTTGTTTCTGTTTGTAGTTCTGTTAATTGCTAACTTTGTGTAGTTTAGCTCTCTGCATTGACAAGTGGCATATTTCTTTATAAAAAATAGGAGCTTGTTATGTGTGATTTGCTATTGGGTATAAACCATATGTTGTCCAGTCTCGCTGTCTGTAGTTGTCACAACAGCTTATTTAACATATGAATGTTTGCTTTAAGGGAATTTCTTGGATGTGAAATTTATAGGGTTTCATGTTGTTGATTTTGCTGATTCATGGGTTAACCAAATCATAGTTAGTGTTACTCAAGGGCTTCTACTTTGTCGCAGTCATTTATGTTGGTGTATGAGGAGATGTGAATTAGCTTTGGTAAACTTCCTTCTGGGATCAGCTTGTGTGCAGAAGTTCTAAACTTTAGTTCTGGTATGCATCTTTGTATGATGCAATATGGCCACAAACATATTGGTTTCCTTGTATGACTAGGGATGTCAAAAATGAAATGCTGTTAACAACAACCATTTTGATGTAGTTCTTTTCTCAGCCTCTCAGGTGATACTTTAGGTGGATGTGGTTCTTTTCTCTTTACATCAATTTCCTCGAATAATACTTTCTTAAAGGATTTTAACTGCTTCTAGATCCTGACAGTTTGAAAATAGTGTCTTTTACATGAGGAAGTCTGTACAAATATGTACTTTTGTCAAGACACTTAATAGTAATAATATGTTGGGAATTTAAAATGGTCTCTTTATATGGTTTTGGACAATCCTCACCTCATGAGCTAGCTTGTGAGGTTGAGTAATAATATGACTCTGAACATAGGTACATTTTGCTAGTTAAGGGGATAGGACTGCTCCTGCTTTGTTAATGTGAAGTTCTTTTATTTTGGTTGTTTTTCTGAGACAATGATATGGATAAGTAGATCTTGATGAATGTCAGGTTCTGGAAATTTGATGCTGTGTCATCAGACATTGTTGGTATTTCTCATTTCAACGCCTTTCTCCATTTGATTGGTTGTTATTACTGATGCTGCTAGTGCAAGGTCTTTGGTCTGTTCCTTAGACTTGTAGCTTAAAACCAAGCATTTGGTGGATTTGAGTTTAGGTGACATAGTCTATCATTTCTTCAGGATTACTATTATTAGGATATCGACCCCACCACTTAAGTTGTCATTCAAGAATACTTGGTGTCCTTTAGGAAATTGATTTAAAATTTAAGGATGTTGCCTTGAGTTTGACTGACCCCTTTTGTTGTTCTACTTGGTTTTTAAATTTGCAAGTGTAGTGCCTTCATAAAGGCCTGGTATCTTGAGTTCCTTCTGTTTGCACTCTTAATGTAGTTATCTATCTATCTACCTGCTAGTTGCGTCTCCACGTAGACGCCTATCTCTCTGGTGGTACTATCCAGTCTATTCTCTTTCCACCAATTTTGATTAGGAGTTATGTTTTTGGCTTTTGGTAACATATCATTTCAGCTACCCTCTAAAGTTTCTCTGGTTCTAGTTATCCCCAAAAATATTTGAGAGACTTAGGCATACCGATGTATTGCTATTGCATGGACCAGATTGCCGCCCTAGAGGCGAAGCTTAGGGGCGATCAGCTCATCTCGAAAGGAAATTATCCTATGCACATGGTCAAGCAAAATTGTTGCTTTTCCTATGCTATGTTTATAGTTCGATGAGATAATACAATCCCTTTGGTGCATGCCTAGCCAGAATCGTTCATGATTCTTTTTCTATTTGTTAGCCACAATAGTTTTTTGTTTAGTGCATGCATAAGGGGTGCAAGATGCAAAACTGTAGAATCTCCCATACACATTAAGGGAGCAAAATTCCAGATGGAGAACTGACCATTTTAATAACCCATTAATAAAGATTTTCAGAGCCTAAGGGCACTCAATCGTGCAATTCTCATAGTTCTCTAAACTCACGAGCAAGCAGCACAGAATAATGGCGATAATTGCTAGTTTCGTCAATAAATTATTGTTTATTAGGTGTATCTTATTTAGGCTGGTGCATGACAAGATAACCTTAGACAAGTCCTACCACTGAGGCAAACTCACAGTTTGAAACCAGCTTTCCCTGGAAGGAAAGACAGGTTTTCCTTGTTTCTATCGTAAAAATCTTTAAACCAGATTATTGAGATCTTATATTTCTACTACTCGCTAGATTAAAACTATAATCTTCTTCGTATAATGAGAACAATGGCTAGAAATCCCATGAGCAGATATTTGGCATGAGGTAGGAGGTGGCACATGCCATGTGAGAGGATCTAAATATAGGGATGGAAAAATAAGCATTATTTGTGTGATATTAGCCATCAGTTCGAATCGTTTATAAAATGTGAACAATAGATGATTCATCACAAGTAAACTACAAGAGACTGATGCGTGAAAATTGTATTTAGGAAGATGATAACTCAGTAAGAGATGATCCAAAACAACTTTTTTGTAGCTGCGAACTCATTGAAGGCTTGAACTAGTTCCAATAAGCACGGCAAAATTTATTGATAACAAAAATGGAGTCCCCATTCATTTGGGAATTCAGATGCAGCAAGGACGAGAACAATTGGGCACCACAACTTACAATGGTCCGGGAAAGGTGCCATTCTCTCTCTGCTCATTCCATCTGTCAATCTGCAGCCATTATCAAAAGCAACGAAGAACACATGAAGCTGACAACATGAGATTGTAAGGGCACATAAAATAGAATTACCACCAGAGCCAAAAGTTTACGATTTAAGAAGATATCACGTGTTAGCCAGAAAAACTGCCTGTGTGTTAGCCAGAAAAACTATCTAACAAATGACAAGGTCTTTATTTGGTAATTTTTGTTTTTTGATAAGGCCTATTTGGTAATATTTTAGTTTAATCTTGTTTTAGGCTGTGCTCCACAAAAAGATATCCTCACTCAAGCATTTGATACTACTGGCTACATCTGACTAACACAATTAGTATTAGGGATCATAGCTGTAACCGCTCAATAGTGCACATCTCAGCCATGTCCACCACAATCACTACCCGCAGAATACTTAAATTGCTAACTTCACTCACGGTAACTCCACCAGGAAACTGTGTCACTACATTGCTACGCTTGAACCCTCAACCGAGCTAGCATCAAGGGCATATCAAGATCAATACCAAGTTCTCCTAGTAATTTCATGACTGCCACATTGCTGACAACAATGCTCCAGCCATACACACCAGAAAGTCACTACTTCATTTAATTCCAAACTTTCACCGCCACCTTCCAGAGTGTATATACAATCAAGACAATTTTACATGAAAGCGCGTTACAAAGAAAGTTCTGTAAAAACCTATATATTGGAATGTGGGGCTCGGGTTAGGATGTCATCCTGGTGGTTACTACCTGATTGGGTCTCCTAGGATGGCCCTAGGGATTTAAATCCACAAGCACAAGTCTTTTCCTGCAGTTTCAGCAAAAAGATTGAAAGACCAAACTCAAATGTCAATGGATGTGTTTTCCCATTTCAGCTGATATGAAATACTGCCCAAGAAATCATGCCCCCAGATTTTGCACAGCTCGGCTCTCCTATATATCAAAGACAGAAAAGTATCCATCTTCCTCTTTACTGCAGGATATTGAGAGCAGCTGAGCAGATCTCTAACTCCCTCCCCATCCCTCCTTCCCTCCCATATTTGGATTTTTCCAACTGCCCGTGACAAGTGTCAACCAATCCCTCCTTTCTTCCCTAGACTCACTTGTTTTGTTGTCTATAATTCACGAGATCTCAATCAAAGCCTCACCATGCCTCCCCTCCTCCCATCCCGAAATTATGATAACAAAGTTCTGCATTACAATTCCAACATTACATGTTCATGAACCATAGGACCACCTTAGTGATTTAAAGTTCTAACAGTTTCGACTCATAGTGTCAAATCCACATTAAAATTCAACCTGTCCATCCACTGCTCAATGGGAATTCCGTCTCGTTAGCAGACACCTAGTACATAATTTATCCCATATTTGCCAAAAGATTAGTTAAACACGGGAATCAAGACAATTTAGCATTCTTCCAAAAGCATATAACTATGAAGATCCAAAGCTATAAAACAAACATACCCATTCACCAGGGCAAAGGGAACGGTAGTACTTGGCAAATTTGTCACACTCAGGTGCACCTTCACCCTTTGCAGCTACACAACTGAAAGACAAACCAATTGTACATAAATGAAACTTTATTACTCCAATAGATTTAGAATACAAGATACACAGAAAGAAACACAAGAGGAATGGCTAGTATAGCTGCGTTTACTGACCGATGATATTCGACATATCTGGTAAAGCAGTGCCTTGTCTGATTTGTAGTAGGGAAGCGGAAGTCAGCAGGCGCTGTCTCAAGCTGATTGCCGATCATAACATAAACAACAGAATACCGTCAATGCATATCAGCACTAGTAAAAGGAGTCAACATTAATGGTTAACATATCTAACCTTAATCTCAGGGGTTTCAACAGCAGATCCCTCATTTCCCGAGGTCTCATCTTCAGTACTTTCGCTGCTTTCATCACTGGAAGCCTCGACAGGTGGAGAGGCTTCAGCTGCAGCTTCACTGTTTTCCTCAGGTGCAGGGGAAACTTCAGTGCTCTCAACCACTGGATCTTCCTCAGTTTTGGAAATAACTTCTTCAGTTGGGGCAGCTGAAGGGGTCTTAACCTCAGTTTCTTCCACTGGTTTTGCTGCCTCAGGGGATTTCTCTTCCTGCGCTTTCAGCAAGTATTGCTGCAAATCCAGGAACAGGACAAAGTTTGTCATTTGCAACAAAAAACTCTATCAGTAGCGAAGAAAATCTCAATGCAAAATAATAAAGCCAAAGACTATTATTATGCGCTGAAATTTTTTGATAACAAAGTAAATGACAGTTATTATAATATTAAATTCTAGAGAAACATGTCAAAGTGGAAGAGTTAAATAAGTTACAAGCTCACAACTAGGTGAAGAAAAGATGTTAGAACACATTTCACTACTCGATGATCAATTCGAAAGTGACTGCTCCAGCAAAACAATGACGCGAGGGGGAGCAATTTCAAGAAGGTGCCCACTTCGGAGGGAGAGGCACTAAGGTAACCATGCGAGAAGTAGTTGCTTCTTTGAATCTAAGTTAAACGATGAAGAAAAAGGAGAAATTATTGACAGAAGATATTTTTTTTTTTTTTTTTTTTTTTTTTTTTTTTTGGCTATTTGTGTACTGGGACTCTTCTCTAGCACACTTCAGTTCTCCTAGTTGTCCTTTCTTCTCCTCTCTTGGTACACTTGGGTTCTTCTTCCCCTCCTCTCTTGGTATACTTCGGTAGTGCTTCGTGTTCTTCTATTACTTTAGCTTTTGGGCTTATCTTAGCCTTTTTCTTCTCCCTTTCTTCTCCATTCCTATCGTGTTCTCTATTCTTCAAATTCTTGATTTATAGATAGATTGTTAGGAAAATAATAAAAATAACTCAAATAAAGCTAAATTATCCATAAATCGTCTTAAACAACTAAATATACAACTGAACGTTGCAAATTAAATATTTTTATAGCTTATTAATAATAAATGAAATCCATTTTTGTGATTGAAGTTATTGATCAAAAAATTGAATGTTGCGTATGATTTATTCTATTACTTGGATATATCACTGCAAATTAGTCATTTTATGGCTCATTAATAAGATTGAATATCAATTTTGTGCTTGAAGTAATCCTTCCATGGGCTTGTTGAAATTACTTTGGAATAGTATCTAATTTCAGTTATTGGATTTCTTTGTTTAAATTATAGGGGGAGGGGAAAGTGGGGAGGGGAAAGGGGAGAGGGTATTACTCCTTGCATGCGGAATCGAACCCTCACCAACAAGGTGAAAGGTCAGGTAGTCAACCAACTCACGACTAAGATTCCCTATTGTCGGAATTAAACTTTTTGTTTTTGGATAAGTGCCGGGATCAATATAAATGTTGTATATTGGATGTTGCAATCAATAATAGCAATTATGATGTTATAATTACAATATTAAATTGTCTAGGTGTACGTTGAACGTTTTCAAGACGAATACGCCTCCCTTCTTCCTACTCACTTAAGGCCCAGAAGGCTTTTTTTTCCCTTGCTTTTTTGCTTTTATTTTATATTGATAAATGCATTTTCAAGAAGCTCTATTCCGGAATAAATGTTGATCTAGGTTATCCAACTGATATGCAGGAGAATCTAGAGGAACTCTTGAGTCTTGACAAAATAAAGCTGGATTATTCATGTAAATGCTCGACGAATTTTCATTCTTCTAAAAAGCAAATTATGGTGTCATTTATTTACTTTAAAAGTGAAACATTCTTGCAGTATATATTATGTATGAGAGAATTACACATACATAGCAACTAAATGGCCTATATATAACTTTGCAAAGTTGCAGCCCAAAAACAATAGGCCAAGGTTCAACATCCAACTCCAAATAGGTTCTCGAATCGCTTTTCAGTTTTTTTTTGGTTAAAATCTCAAGCTTCTAATCCAATCTTCGAATCAGTAATTGCGACTCAAACTTTAGTTCAACAAACCAAATCCATTTGGGTGGTGAAATTTAGATTTTTAAGATAATTCACCATTATTGAACAAGCTTAAATAAGCAGTTTTAAATTTCGAATTTGATTTTGTGAGAAATTTGGAGTGAATATTGTTTAGACTAGTTAGAAATAGTCTAAGGAGGTTGTTTATAAAGTTTAAGTTATTTAATGGAGATTTGGACTGATTTTAAACAATAATTGCACTTTTATACAAGGCAAGTACATTATGTATATAGGTGTATAAAAATGTATAACAGTATATAAAAGGTGTTTATATTGTTATACAAGGTGTTTATACACCCATATACAACATTATACAAAAATTGACTTCGTCTCCTTCCTTACGCCTCTTCTAAAATTTAACTCAAATCTAGCTCAAATCTATTCCAAATCACTTCAAACTTAAGTTTTGAACTTCTCTTGACGTTCCCAATCCAAACAACTAACAAACTCGAAAAACTCAATTTTCGAAATTGAAGTTTCGAATAGTCTTCAATGGTGGAATTCTAGTCATCAAGTCTTCAATTAAACACAATAAAGAGAAGACCGACTTCACCACCACATACAAAAACCATATATGGTATTGAATTAACGAACAAGGTAAATTATGAATGAAAGCAAGAAACTTTATCTTGATTTGAAATTCTTCTTCCATGGTGTAGGACCATGATGACCTCTGCAATTTGGACTATAAAACTTTCCACCTAATTGGCTCATCCAAAGACTGAATACACTACCTCAAACAAACAAGGCAATTTCATCAGCTCAAAATCATTTCGAAGACACCGAAGAGAATGTAAAAGGCAAACCAACTTTGAGGATGGAGAGCTCGTTCTTGATGTTGCCTATATTTTGGCATCATTTAGTGACGCTTCCATTCATGAGACTGTCTTTAATGTGGGGCTACTAAGGAATGAAATATTTTTTCAAGTTATATACAAAGTGGGCCAAACTAGTTAAAACACTGGCCAATTTTGGTAGCATCATCGGGCCCCAACTGATAAAGGGAGTAATCTTTTCTTATGTTTATGATAGCACCAAGCAACGCATACCTCTTTATAAAACTAGATCGAGCAAGACCAACCCAGCCAAGGACTAGGGGCTGATAAGGTTGAACTTCCCTTAAATTAAGCATAATAGTATATATTCAGTAATGCTTTACTTCAGGATGACTTTAACAATTCAGTTGCTTTTGAAACTTTTTTCCTTTTGTGAAGAAATTGTAAGAAAAAGTAAACACATTCACATTTCAGTAAAGATTTGTTACAAAGTTTCTTTATTAATAGTAAATTTAACTTGTGATATGCTCAAATAAATTGGTTACGGACAGATCTTAACTCCTTACAGCTTTCTAATTGACAACCATTTTATGGAAATTCATTTTTCGTTGCATTTCTTTACATGTTCACTTGGCTATTCTCTCTAGAAATGAACAAAGCATATAGTTTTCCCATAAACCCCACACACTTAGGATATAAACTACTTGGCTTTCCTCGCTTTGCCTTCGCTTTCTCGATCACTAGATGCACCTCAAATGCCATCAACTGACTATGTAAATACCCAAGAAAGCGTCAATCTTTTGCCATAAAAACTAACATTCATCTTTGATCTTGTTATTCACTCACTATATACTCAAAACACATTTCTTCACTCTCAAAAACACATTCTTCATTCTGCAAGAAAGATGGAGAACTTTCCGATTATCAACTTGGAAAAGCTAAATGGAGTGATAGAGCTTCCACCCAGGGAATGATTAGAGATACACTCAAAAACTTCATTCTACATAACTCAGAATACTCTTTCGAAGAACCTCGAAAAAAGTCCTCCATCTCTCCTGCTCTTCATCTCTACCTTTTGTCAGTAAGTGCAGGAGAAAAGAACCTTTTCGCTCAAAACAGTGTCCCCCTTTTCAAACTATGCTTTATGAACGAGTATCTTGACAATTAGATTTATTTTCTAAGTTTTCTCAACTTATGCAAGTTAAATTAATAAAGTCTATTGTTGCCATCGTTGTCTTTTTAATACAAGCTACAAAAATGGAGAAATGCATAACTCTAGCATTAATGTTTGCTTGCATATATACCTGAAGTTGATAATACCAGTTAACCAATTCAGACTATGCAAATCCAATATTAAGTTTCGTAAAAATCTGGATGTTTTAGGATGAGATTTGGTATAATCGGACCCACTATGCAAAGTCTTTGGACATAGGATTTTTTGTAATAGGAGCTAATCCAACTTCTTTTGTATTCTTTTGCATCTTCTTGATGCGAATAATATTAACACCTTACTTCATCAAAAAGAAAATGGAGACACTGTATCGAGTGAAAAGGTACTTTTCTGCTGCAGTAACTAACGGACAAAAGGGTAGAGGGAAGAGCGGGAGAACTTTTTTTTTTGAGGTTCTTTGAAAGAGTATTGTGAGTTATGCAGAATGAAGTTTTTGAGTGTATCTGTAATCATTCCCATGGTGGAAGCTCTCTCACCACCATTCAGTTTTTCCAAGTTGATAACTGGGAAGTTCTCCATCAACTGCTCGTGTAAATCAAAATCAAGATAAGAAAAGACTCTAGCAAATCACTATAAATGAATTTCTTTAAAATCAGAACTAGTTCATATTTTCTCTTTCTAAAACTAAATGCCAATATTCATTAAATTAAGAAACAAATAAATTCTCAGTCTCAGAACTGGAACAAAATTACAGATCAAGCTTATATCCAGATCGAAACTTCAACTGGATCACGAGTATTTCAAAAAAATAAAAATTTATGAACAAAGATAGAATAAAATTGAACATAATATGATCACAAAGCGCAAACGAAACAGAAAACTGAAAATTGGAGTAGCATTTTGCTAATTACCTCAGATAAGGATGGAGCATTTGAGGTATCAACTTCGGCCATTGCTGGATTCAGCTGCGACGGCGGCCGATAGGCCAAGCTTTGACCAATAAAATAGCAAAGCGCTTAGGTTTTTGGTGGAATGTTCAGTTCGGTCAGTATTGAGTCGATGGGAAAGTGATGGCGAGAGAAATTGGAGACGCCATCTCTTCTGCCGTTAGGAAAGGCTCACGTATCGAGGACTGGCCCATGGGCCTCCAAGTCTCTGTGGTTACTGGACTTGATCTGATTTGACTCAGTCCAAAGTTGTAAAAATAGCAGGGTATAGCCAGTTTTCAGATTGATCATTCAGAAATAGCTAGCGTTTACGAATTCAATAAAAAATAGCCACTATTTTGTTGCAGCAGAGATCGATCCAGCATAATATACTGGAGTTCGGTGCATTTGTATATGAACTCCAGCATATTATGTTGGACCGGTATACTTTGCTGACTCCAGTATATTATACTGGACAATTATACTTGCTGGAACTCCAGTATATTATGCTGGAGTTCTAGAGTACTTATGCTGGAGTTCCAGCATACTTATCCTGGAACTCCAGTATAATATGCTGGAGTTCAAGCATACTTATGCCAATATAATAATATACTGGCATATTTTCTGGGTTTTGAACAGTATTTTCGCTCAGATTTATCTTTACATGAAAAGTGGCTAAATTTCGATTACTTTTGAAACTGCGCTATTTTTGAACGTTCAGTTGTAAATCTGGCTATTTTTGAATTTCTCCCTCCAAAGTTGGGGATAGACAGGATAGCCCTATCAGGGGCTCGTCTTTAAGACGTGAAAATAGCACAGGCTAATCAGTTTTGGGATTGATAATTGAAAAATAGTACTTATTTGTAAAGTCATTTTAAATAGTTACTATTTTGTTGAAACATAAAAAATTACAGCATAATATGCGGGATTATGAAATAGAATAACTTTAAGCATATTATGTTGGAACTCCGGCACATGGAAAGTTCTAGCATAATATGCTGGATTATGGAGCTACTGCATATAAACTTCCCGCATATTATATTAGAACTCCAACACATTAATGTAATTCCAACACATTATGCTGGAAATTCATGTAAATAAATTTAAATTCTAGCATATTATGCTGGAATTTTTTCGAATTTTTAAGGATATTTTTGTTCAGATTTTATCTTTCACGTAAAAGTGGCTAAACTTTGATTATTTTTGAAACTATGACTATTTTTCAATTATCATTATAAATCTGGCTATTTTTGATTATTTTTTTTTTCTCGCTGATTCTTGGACCAGTGAGAATTGCTTTCAATGATTTACCTGTTTAGATCAAGAGAATGGGAGTGGAAATGTGAAGAAAAATAAAAGTTGACAATAGAACATTTAACGTTTTTAGAATAAGAGAGGCTTGCAGCTTAACAGCAATTGAATCAAAGCCCGATTGCTATACAGTTTAATCCTCTTTAGCCTTTACCCCATGTTATAGCAAGGAAATATTTTGGTGTTGTGATCTGAAACAACCTCTTTATACTTCTAAGGTAGGGGTAAGATTGCGTACATCTTATCATCCCTAGACCCACTTCTGAGAAAATATTGGGTTTGTTGTTGTTTATGTCCCTCTTATTCATTGAAACTCACTTTTGGGTAATTACAGAATCTTTTTTCTTTTTTAATTAATATTTTGGATACTAAACTCCTTTTACTTACCCTGAGTTGGGAACACATTAATCGTAGAAAAAATATTAAAATCTTTCTTTTCATAAGCTTTAAGCGTTCAAAGGATGCATATGATTTTTGAGAAGCTTCATTTTCTTCTGTTTCATGCCGTATTAATTAGTAGTAATATTTTTGCTCGGAATTAACAAAAACCTGTAAATAAAGGTATTTTAATTGTCTCTGATGATCAGATGAAGGGGCAGGGTGTGTCAATTGACATGAAAAGGTTCAGGTTTGGTCGTGGAAATTTTAAAAGGAAGATTTTATTTTTACAACGTTAACAGTAAGGCAGCTTTGTGGAAGGCAACTTTAGGAGAGGTTCATGTTAGAGGTACCATATGACATTCAATATAAATTTATCACTATTCAATATAAATTTATCACTGTTCATAAAGATTGGTACGAGGACCTATGTTAATATTTGACTATTTCTTAAAGACATTTAAAAGTATATATGGAGTTTTTGTGTGACCCCTCCATGTATTGGGTGCGTCCGCCTTTGGTTCATGTGATTGGCCAAAATAAAATAGTAGTAATAATGTAATATCAATCATGTGACACACGTGCCCAATAATTTGGAAAGTATTTCTAATCAATGAATGGATGTGTTATTTTTTAAACAAGCCAAAACATATATTAGGAGTATTATTCATAATCGTGATTAGTTTGGAGATAATGGTTTACTACAGTAAGAGGTAATTCAAGTATAACTTTGCTTTTTCTTCCTTTTGCTTTATTTAATCATATTTCCAAACTTAATGTTCAAGCATGCATTCGTACGTGGACTAAGTTTAAGTTATTGGACCACATCTTATGGTGATACGTAGTGTAGCTAGCGTAGTATTTGGTTAGCTTAACATTTGAGCTATTAATCCGTATGCTTCTGTTTTAGCTTATAAAACTCTGGTCAATAATTATATTCGAGCATTACTATTAATCCATATGAGCCTTTAAAGTATCCCGAAGGTTGAAGTTAGAAAATCAATAATAAGTCCTTTTAACGGATCACTATTTTTAGTTATTTCTTTTTTAAAGAGTAAGAATAGGATTTGCTTTCTGAAACTTCAAAGGAAGATTGAGAAGAAATATTTTATTATAAAGCAAAGAAATGGTTCATTTTTTCACTCATATAATGATCTATCTTGTATTAATTTTTTTATTTATTATTGTTTACCGTGAAAATGGTAGTAACAATTAATTTATTGATGTGACTCTACAAATACGTGATCTATTTTTATGCTAGTTGTTAAAGCACTTGATGCTAGATATGTGGAGATAAAAGATGAAATGCGATCTAAAATAGAGTTATAATCAAACCGAGGGTTAGTTGTCCGGGCCTCGGACTACCGATGAGGGGCCTCAAGGTCAATGCCTGGGCTAGGGCTCAAGCAATCGGTGATAACCGGGAGAGGGCTAACAGTTAGAATGNGGGAATCCCCTGTTTTACTCTAGCCTCGATCAATATTCTCTTCAGGTCGGGCCTCGACGAGCTTCGAGGGAGGGAACTCGATCACATTTCATGTCCTCGAGGCCTCGAGGTGTTCTTCTGAAGTGACTTAATAGCAAAAAATTGGACCCTCTGATTTCGCCGCGTACAGATGATAAGTTAGGATTTTAAAGTGTTTATGTCCCTACTTGCCTATGCTTTGAGTATAAATTGATACAAAAACAGTCCCAAAATGCTCACAAGTTGTGCTTGATTGCAGGGTTGATTAACAAAGTGACGAGATGTCAAAAATCGGCTCAAAAAGGATGAAACCTGCTCAAGTATCAAAGACCAAGAGAAGTGAAANGTCAATTAGCCACCAAGGTAATGCCACAACCCTAGTGCTCTTCCTTCCCATTAATTACAACTTAACAATATTCTCCTAGCATAATCCGTAGTTTTATAATATTAGTTATAAATACAAAAATTCAAAAAATGATTGAAGTGACATTAGAAGCACAACCACAATCTAGGCTAGACGGAAAATACAACTCCACTACTAGCTCCTTGTGGAAATTCGATCCCGAACCTCTATTCGGGTAAAAGCTATTGTGATCCGCTCTTTCTACCATAGTGTAGTGTCGAGTCGGCAGCGATCAACTTTTTGGCGCCGTTGCCGTGGAGCTTACGGTGTTGACTATCTGTTTAGTTAGTTTTGTGTTGTACTTCTCTTTCCTTCTTGTTTACTAATTTCGTTTGTGTCGATCAATCAGGTACAATGACTCTTAATGCAAATGACCCTCTCGGCAATGTGATAGCGGGGGAGGAGGTAGAGGATTTAGAACCAGATGAGGTCTTACCTCAACTTCCATGAAGAGGCCAGCCGACATGTCAATGTAAATGCAAATAAGAACAACAATATTCCAGACCCTCTTCCGCCACCACCGAGAGTGGCTCCCAGAGTTTTACCAAATCAAGGATACGCTAGTGCTATTGTTCATTCCCGAATCCGGGCGGGGAACTTCCAAATCACAAATGTTATGCTGACCCTGCTCGAGCAAAGATGGTATTTCACGGGTGCCTCCAATCAAAATGCCTACAAGCACTTGAAGGGGTTCGTGGATACAT